GTCCTGAGTCCATTGTATGCATAATTATTTCCAAAGTCGGACAGTGGACGTGGTACATTCCCAGACGTTTAGCCGGCATCGTCAGTGAGTTTTACCATTCGTAGCACTATATTACAACTCGTCAGAGACAAGCGAAGCCGATCCTTTTACCAAACGTGTGCTAAACAGTTATGGTATCTCCCATTCTGCCCTGGCCTATCACATTTTCTATATCCTCCAATCACGCCTTCACTGTCACAATATTTCACTTGCTTAATTAAATGCGGTCGGTGCCCATTTTTTAGCGGCTTTCATGAAAACTTTTCGCACTCTACGCTGGCCTTTTCACCGCCCTTCATTCTTGTGATGGGAATGTTGATTAGAGTCTGCAATTTAGCCGTATAGAAGTGGTACGATCTCGCTTTTGCAACTTGATCAGAGCGACAGGGAGGCTCTGTGGAACGTACCTAGTCCTAGATCGTCTGCCAGAGTTTTGAAGAAGAGTTCAATCATCGGACCAAAAGATTCGCCGGGATCAAAGTCAGTATGGTCAATTAGAGACGCCTTTCTTAGCATAGTTAAAGCTTATCGAAATGACAAATGAAGGCAATCCCCTTGACCAATTTCCTATTCAAAAGGAGGAGTGGTGCCACAACTGTTAAGTATAAAAGTGGTCAGGGGGATTCCCTTCACTTGACACTTTGATAAGTCATAACTGTGCTAAGGGTTAATTCTCTAACTGACGAAGCCGACTACAACGTAGGCGAAACGTCTGGGAATGTAGCAAGCCAATGCCCCAAAGCTAGTAATTAACATAACTAAAAAGAAAGAGGAGGCAGAACATGGGGTTCCACAGTCTTCTCGTCACTCCGACCGAATTATGAAAACTAGGTCAAAACAACACTCTTTTCAATGTTTCTCCGGTCTATTCAATAATTATAGCAGGCTGAATTGCGCAAGTGCTGGTTCGCAGGTACACATATCCTTAAGACAGAAAATAACGATTTGATCACGAGGTAGACATGATTACCAATGCAAGACGGGTTGCATATAAACGTGGTGAAAATAATGTGGTGATATATGGCTAAGCTATATACCTGATCTCAATTAATTGACTAGTATAATTACGAAATTGCACAGTAAATTAAAAGTGGTACGACATCGCTTTCTCAACTTGGTCGTGTTGTTGCGAAAACAAGGTCGTACCACTTCTATGCATTGAAAGATTAATGAGAACAAAATAGAGGCCACACAATCTTTGTTTTAATATCTAAAATAAATTAAATTGTGATGTAGATTCATCCCCATGCGGTTGTAGGTCAAACTAATTTAAGGGAATATAAGCCATGCTCTGCAAGCTACTGTTACCCTGTGTTGTGCAAAGCCTATGTTACCAAAAGTTACTTCATTAGTTATCTTCACTCATTTCATAAGAATATTGTAACGAATTTCACCGTGTGAATTCTTGCCATTAAAATTTTCGTTCACCTGGAAAAGATTCTGCAACCGAAGGCGCAGGCCCAGAGACAAGGCTAGCTTCTTCCTCTCCGACAGAGAATCTGACTTCATCAGATCTGAAAGCCTTAGAGGGCGCCAAAATGGCTGGTGCTTCGTGCACCCAACCCGTAGTAGAGTCGACCTCGGCTGACTGTTCGACGCGACCATGTACCACTGGGCTAGGCACTTTGCAGCTCGAGATCAAAGCGTCAGATTCCGAAGGATGACTATTGTCTGTGGGCCTTGGATCAAGTTCCTCTAGTTCGCTGAACTGATTGGTCTTGACGCCTGCTGTAGAGGACTGGCCTAAGAGAGGAAAAGCCTTGAGGACATCATCAGCAGAGGTAGCGATGGGAAATCCATCTAAAGACCCGTTCTTTTGCTTGCCTCCAAGTGACGATGAGGGAAGGCATGGAGCTAGGGCTTCTGAAGAGATTGTTTGGTCATCACCGAGATCCGAAGCCGAAGTAACCGTATCAAAGGGCTAGGAAAAAGCACATATTAGGAAATGGTGGTAAGTAAAATGCAATATATAGCAAAGTGGTATAATGGAAAAAACTCTACTAAGTCAAGTGTGGCTAATACCTCCCCCCCCAGCACGGATAGATAAAAGTCATTGATTATAGATTAATATTTTTTAATTATGCTTCAAAATATACCTTAAGTACAAAGTGGCATACTAGGAGCTTTACTATGATATAAAACCGGATTTTATTGCAATGATAAATAAGGGATTTCCAGAAAAGTTAATATGAATATGCCGAATAGACTAAATACAACTTACTAGATCTAAAAGTATGCCTAGTAAGTACCAAAGCCAATGGCAGAATATTACACAATTTAAAGAGCTTGGCTCAAAGAAGACCTTTGCAGTGAGAAGCATAATTAGCCTGAGACTAACATTAATAAGTGTGTGTGAGCCAAAGAGCATGCCATTCAGCAACAAAACGTATGGAAAATCAATAAATGATCTTAGGAATAAAGAGGATTACGGTTCAGATAGGAAAGCTCGTGGTGAATAAATTAAATTAAATTGTAAGTATGAAGACCAAGATGGTATAAAATTTTATTTGGCCACAGTCAAAATCAAAGCCAAAATTAATTTGGTGTGGTATCATTAAATTTCAAAAGGCAAACTAGAAGAAGAATTGTTAGCTCTTTATACGTTCACACTACCTGGTATAAATATTGTCTAGGAATAAAACATCTTACAAGCAAAAGTAAGCCTTGCTGTTCATAGAGCTAGCTTTATAAGCCCAGAAGAATCAAATATTGTATCGCTCACCGTAATTTTACTTGAAAAGTTGCACTAAGCCTTAAACCAGAATCTAAGTAAACCAGAGTAAAGAAAAAGTTCAAGGATCGCCATCAGTAGTTACGCAAGTAAATGAAAACGTCCTAGAAGCAGGTTAATAGATTCAACATTATCGAAGTTTTGTAAGGAAGCGAAATTTTGAGTAGTGGGACACACAAAGTAATCTTAAAAAGAAGTAGTGTCAATTGTATTCATGGGTTGAACTCTTCAATAGACGTAAAAAGAACTAATGACAGTAGGTAGATATTGTGGTCTCTGTCTTGGTCGCAGTCCCCTTTCTCTGTATGAAAGTAAACTTACTGAATGCGTCAAATCTTGCAGCCTGAACTATAAATACAAGTAAACATCTTTCGATAAAATTGGGAGTCCCAATTAATTTGCGCAAGTTGTGAAAGGCAGTTCTCGTCCAGGATGGGCTGGAGTTTTAGTATCGCCTGGGTCTTATCAATATCTCTGACGGTATTCAAAGTGGGAGTTAAAACAAATATATTATGCATTGAGTCATACAACTCTAACTTCGTTTCGTTGCACACAAAGCATGAATTTCAGGGCAGAACAGCTCGCTCTCAGTTCAGATGGAGGGGCAGAAAAAATTACAACAAATAGCAAGGAAAAGAAATTATCAAAGTACAAAAAACACCGCTAGAAATATATATGTGAATAAGAGGAAAATGGAATCTATTCACTGCATATTGTAATTAAGGTTAAATAAAATACAAGAATTGTCGATTGAATCATTACAAAAACATCCAAGAGTGCCGTATCTTCGATTCATTAAAATAAAAAATTATTTGAGTAAATCAAACCTGAAATCAAAGTAAATTCTAAATTGAGAAACATTATGATTGAAAACTTAATATTTCAGCAAGAAAAGGATAAATCCAGATTTGGATCCAAGTTAGCAATGAAAATATTAAGAGGAAGCCCTAAATAGATGAAGAATAGCTCATGTTTTGTAACCTCATTGAAGACAGACTCAGAATTATAAAGGCAAAAGTGATACTAAGGCCAATCGAGATTAAGACTTAGCGATAGCTGATCAGAATGCATACCGCGCAATGGCCTTTAGGAGATGAGGACTCAAAATGGATTAAGTGGAGGAAAAATCTTGCTAAATCATAAGTTATAAACGAAAGGGGAGATACCACAACTGTTTAGCACACGTTTGGTAAAGGATCGGCTTCACTTATCTCTGACGAGTTGTTGTGTGGTGCTAAAAATGGTGAGACTCATTGAAGATTCTGGCGAAACTTCTGGGAATGTACCACGTATACGGTCCGACTTTGGAAATTATCATGCATATACTGGACTTCGAACTAGGTGCGTTTCTCTAAGTCTTCCTATCAATATGACAAAGTAGTGAAAACGAGGTCAAACAACCTCAATAAAAATTGGAGTTGAAGTTGGAAGGCATGACTGAGCCCAATAAGAGGTGATGGATGCTAAGGTATATATTGTTAATGGATTATAGGTATCGGAAAAAAGTGATGGATGAGGAATATAGTTTGAGTGAATATAGGAAAGCTTAAAGTATAAGCAACTAAAGAATATTCTTTGATAAAGATAAATTCATCTAAAAACGTCCTAAACATGCTTTATCATAATCGAATAGAGAATATAATTCAAATTATGCATGAAAAAAACTGGGTTTCTAAGCGTTTTTTAGTTATCGATTGTGAGATGGTTTTTTATTTCGAAGGAAAAGTGGGTTGGAAAATATTCGTCAGTTAGTCTCATCTGAAATTGAATGCTGGTTAAGTGTGTGAACAAGTTCTCAACTCATCATTCTGCGACCTCAAGTAACCCGTGTTAATCGTTCGTAAAGTATTGTTTCCCTCTGAGGATATCTGTCCCGTGATATATGTGAGTTTAGCATGGGTTCATCAAGGTCCCAAGACAGTAAGCTGAGGACCTCTGTATATGATCAAAAAGTCTTCACCTAAAGACAATCCTCCTTTATTTATAGTAAAACCAATTCACGAAATCCTTCCAATCAACTTTTCCTTCCGAGTGAAAAGTCATGTCGCGGTATTTCGAAATGCTTTTCCTCAGCTATCACATTTTAGCAATAGAAGTAATGAAAAAGGCAATGGACATCAAAGTGGGAGGATTAAATAACCTTGCACAATATT